TGCAGGATCACATACCTTTGAAACCTCACTATAAAGCAACAATGCAATATAAAAATATAATAAAATGAAAATAAAAACAGGAATTTTAAAGAGAATATAAAGAACAAAAGCTGAGAGAGAAGAAATATAAACACACGTAAATGCTACGCCTCTCTGTCGCTTGCCTGTGTGCCCACATATAAGAAGAAATGAAGTGTACATGAATCCAGCTTACTGTGTATTTTGATGTTTGAGGCGCTGAAAAGAAGCTGTAATGTTTTCACCTGGCATTGTTAAAAACACATTTGCTTACTCAGCATTGTTTGTCCGCAGTAATTCATCACACAGGCTTTGAGCTATTGATGGAGCCAGCATCCGTTAGCAGGCCCCTGTCAATGATTCACTCACTAAGCCCATCTGTCAGGCGCCCTCTTCCTCCCCTCCACTGCTGTTCAGCTCAGCCCTCCTCTTCCTCAGTGATGGATGGATAAAGTCTTTGACAGCCTTTCAATGGCCACGTTCAACACAGGAACACCTCACAGCTTCAGATGCTGTTATGTAATCCCTGCAAATATTCAGTCAGTTATTGTCTAAAAGTCACCTGTGGCACAGAACAAAAACCATCCACAACTTTTGAAAAGAAAGACTGCGTGGGAAGGCAATTTCTGGAGGTGATTGGTAACAGCATTCATAGCTGAGGACGGTGTTCAATAAATCAGCTACTCACAGAATCCATCACAACTGTGCCATTAAATGCTCCAAATACATTCAACGATCAACTGTAGCCAGTGCATTTCTTGTAGGAGGCGTGGTGCATCCTAGCAGAGTGGCGCGCCGGAACACTGAACCTCACAGGGAGGGGGTGGAGTATCTAACTGTCTGAGTCTGAAAAGACACCTGAGGATCTTGATGCAAACACAGGTTAGTGGTGTGAGTCAGTGCTCAGGTGTGGCAAAGAGCGCCATCTGTGGGTGGCTAACGGGAACTGCAGGAATGTGTGACACAAAACAGACACAGACACAACCAAAAACTACATCTATCACAGGGTCCATCCTTGAACTTGTAAACAGGAGCTGAGAGGTCCATTCAGTAGCTTTACTAGACCTACTAGTCTCTTGTCAGTAGATGAAGTTTGTTGAGGAATTGTATATTTTAAAATAACATTTTTTTCCTGAGCTTTTTTGGGGAGTTTTTCCCCTCGACTTAAAAGCTGAGGCATTCTGAAAAAAAAAAAATCATCTGACCGTGATGCCAGCTTAGTAGCTTATGCATCTGATTTAGGGAATGTACAAAAATGACATACTGTAGGTTACAATGGGTGTTATACTTCAGGGTGTTCTTTAACATTGGAAGGCCCTCCTTACCATTCTAATGCCTTATTATCTTATTTTAATCTTGATGTAATATTTACCCTTCTTTCAAAATATAGTACAGTAAAATAGTACTGAGTTGGCTCAACTCATTTCACCATCAGTAACTAAAAAGGCAAAGCATGAAAAGTTGAATATAGTGTTATCTAAATAAAACCATAAATATATTTGTGGATTAATCATTTTCACAATAGTCACCAACATGCAAATCAAAAGTAAAAATGGCCGATAACAATAACAAATAACTGAACTTGACCTATGATATAAGATGTTTTTAATGACACTTTTAACCTTTTGTAAAGATGCAGACTGTCACAACTATTTCTGTCCTTTTTCATTAATCCTGCACCAAAGTGCTGAAATATAAACTTGGTGTTTTAAAAATAAAAATAACTTTTGTTACAAAAAAGTCAAAAACAATTTGTGGACAGTCCCTTAGTAGCAACCTTTTCTTCTTTCAGATTCAAGGGTTTAAACCATGTTAAACCGTGTTATGTTTGATATTCGATATTCTTATCCCTCAGCAGTTTATAAAAAACATTATCAATATCATTAGTTATGTTTTCTAAGAGTACCTTCTATTGATAACCTGTCGGTGGTAGCCGCTCCAAAAACTATACTCGCACTTCTTGTTTTAGAAACAATGTTGGAATTGATTTTTCACTCTCACTCTTTCTGTCCTTATGAGAATCTCTGAGAGTATACATTTCTGTTGCATGTAAGATCAGGGGCCTTCTCCGACTTTGTGCGTTAAACCACTAACTCTAATACTGAAATGCAAATCCAATCTGCACTATAGGCTAATATTAAATACAGTTTGTAGGTAGAGGCTGCCAGCTTTTCACTGATAGCCTTATTTGTTAAATGTAATATCCCAGAGTGTGGTAATGTGACACACATGTAAGAACCAGGTCTGTAAGTGAGGTGTAGCATAGTCACTTCATCTCCAGCTGTGCAGAGATCACAGCAGCTTTCACTCATCCCCTGAGAGACCGGGGCCTCAGCATTGACACCCCCTATCCCTCCAACAACCAACTACACACACACACACACACACACACACACACACACACACACACACACACACAAAAAACTTGACTGCTCGTGTCCTGTCTGCACGTTGAGTTGTCGTGTAAGCTGTGTCGCTCTGTCACAAGACATGTCCCACATTTGCAGCCGCCATTGTTGGCCAGCAGGATGAGAGCGTCTGTCAGGAGAGCTGACACGCCTGCCACTTTACTGGGCGACTGACAGAGGGCCATGCCACACTGTCACTTCTCCCAGATCTATTGCCTGAGGATAAACATGAACACACACATAGACACACACTGACACATGTTAATAACACAAGAGTAAACAGAGCTAGAATCCCAGAGAGTGACTGACTGACAGTCTGACTGGATGACCGACCGAAGCTGAGGAAGCTGGAGCTCCGTGTCACCCCTCATTCCTACAATCTCCAGCTGTCACATCAAACACTCTGCTCCGGTGTTGCTCCACCTCGAGCTTCACCCCCGCCTTCTGACATCTCATCAGAAATGTATCCTGTAGTGCAGGAGGACACATAGACTCGGTGTACAATATCATCCATTCTGATAGTCGCTGAGTAATTATTGCCTCATAGTGGTGTCATTCTGTCGAATCTATTTCACTCTGTTCTGTTTAGCCATGGTTGTGAGTACATTTACTCAAGGACTTTATTTGAGTAGAATTTTGAGATATCTAGTTTAGTTGTTAATATTTCTAACATATGTTAGTTTATACTTCTACTTCACTGAATTTCAGATGGAACTATTGTGGGTTTTACTCCACTAAATCATCTGGAAATTATAGCAAATAGCTGATTTTACTAAAACACCATACAGTGTCAAAGATTTAACCAGCTTGTTGTAATGACCCGTGGGAGTTGTTGGACATTTTAAAACAGTACTGTCTAACTGGGGCCCCTTATTTGTTTGAGCTCTCTAGTAATTGTGAGCAGTTCAAACAGACATTTCTCCTCTTACCTTTACAGGTGTGTTCAAGGCTTAAAGAGGCACAATCATCCAATATTTCACAATAAATAAATAAATAAATAAAGTAGAAAACTCCACATTTGTGAAAAGAACTGTTGTAAAGCAGAACATCTTAATTAATGGTAAAATGCTATAAGCATGCATAAGTCTTTTAAAGTCACAGAACAGTTTTTCTGCATTGTAGGCATCTCTGGGTGTTAGAACACCTACTTTTTATATTATTGTATTGGTACTTTTACTTAGAATAGAAGATCTGAACAGTTCCACCTGTTCTGATGATTATGGTGTGGTGGAGAGCACTGTCTAAAATGCTGGTCCAAAATCTCCCATAGGTGTTCAGTTGGGTTGACATCTGGGGGCTGTGAAAACCATAACAGCTGACTCACATCATTTCTATGCTAATTAAAGCAATCAGTGACATTTCTTCAGGTTTGTCCTTTATAAATACCCCTCATGTGCTACTGCAGTTTGCTTTCTTGCATGCTGCAGCTTGCAGTGTCCTCTAATGGCTAAACGGTAAAATACACCCATAGAAAATAAACAAATAAATAATGGTAGGATACTGCTCACCTTATCCTCTTCTTATTCAGAGTAGTTTTGCTGAAAGCAGTGCTTTCTTAAAAAAAAACATATCCTGCTCAGAGTCACACCTGGTAGCTGCCCAGGATAACTGAGTCAGGTCTGTTGGCCAATGAGCAGATACACAGGAATAGTTTGGGGACAGGGTCTCTCTTAGGCTCCTGAAATTTCAAAGACAGCTTAATTTATACTGTAGAAGGCACAGACCTGGAAATGCATGCAGCACTGAAGCTCCAATTTAATTCTTAATTAAAAATTTGATTGTTTTATGTAAACTTTGACAGTAAAATTGGTAGAAATTCCTACAGTGAATCTGCATTATAAACTTACAGTCATCATGCACATCTACTTTTAATACATGTAATAATGTTAGAGCTAAATATTAATTCATAATATCAGATCTCCTTGATCTTGTTCAAGGGTCTTTATAAGCCCCACATGTGCTGCAGAGACTAACTGTAAATCAGTAGTAATGAGCATTTTGCATCAAATGCAGTGCCAATAGCACGCCAGTAGGTGGCAGTGTGCACACATAACAGATTCACCTCAGAGGCAAGTGAGCAGGGTTAATTCAAGTGTAATTTAGTTATAATGTTAATAACCATAAAGAGAAGCAGATGTAGAGTAAACGTAGTCACGACCTTTGGGTTCACACAGAGATTTCATATGTACACTACGCTAAGACCCATGTACAGAAAATGAAATGCAAAGCTCCTTAAAAACCCACAGGGGCTGAAAATATCCTTTGAGCCTCTCATATCTCTTAGTGTGATGCATTATGCTGTTCCCCAATGGCTCTCCCCTGTGTCACAGTACAGTTTTAAGGCAGCCTGCTGGGATCCTCACCATTCTGGAATATACTGGAGGCTCTTAGAAGCTCAGGTCACAAGGCCACATGGTCTGGACATGAATGATTAATCCTGAAATAGACTTTGTTCTTCTCATCAGAGCTTTGTTGCTGGTAATATGTAGCTGAATAAGACCAGAACAGCTGTTCTAGTTTAGACATGAATGTCTTCATTGCTGCCAGGAATAAAGGAAAGCAAATAAACTGGAAGTACAACGGCCAATTACTCATATGTAAGTAATAAGAAAGACGTCTTTGTGACTGTTCTCAGGAAAAAAACAGCCTGACTAACATTTGATGAAGAAAGTTGGCTTGAACTTCAAAAACATGAGATTTGACAGTCATTAATGTGAAGAACTGGTGTTTGAACAAGATCCAGCTCAAAATGCTAACAAAGATATTCATTTATTTCAAAGGAAATAGATAATACAAATGAAACAAACTCATCCTGTCACATAAATGAAGTCATGGCTCGTTAACAGCAAAAAGAATCCGGCTCTTTCACAGGAATCTCATTCGCGGCCTTGCAGACTTTACTCTGAGTTTTATGACATGAGTAGTGTTGACACAGGGCACTTCCAAAAAGTGCTTTCTGCAGAGTAAATACTGTACAGTGCAATGCAAAGTAAACTATACATCACATCTGATCAATCATTGGTAAACATCTTTTATATCAAAGAACTTATATGTTCAAAGTTTCATCAATACAGTACATTTATATCAGACGCCACATAGACCCTAAGCAACCTCCCAGGCTCAGAGTATTTCACATTTAATTATGTCCCTGTGATATTCCACCACCACTGCCTTATGACCAGTGTTGCTCTTCTGCAACCTTGAGTTTGCTGAGAGCAGCCTCACCCACTCTTCTCGCAGTTCAGCTGCCCTCTGCTCTCCTTCAGTTTGTCTCTCTGGCCCTCCGGAGTCTTGGAGTCTGCTCTCAAATCACTGACCACAGCTCGGAGGGTTTTGAACCTGTCTAGCCGAGTGCTCTGGGCCTCATGAAGCCTGACTTCTGAACCCTGAGATGCACTGAGGGAGCTGAGTGACCGCACTGCTGCCAGGCCGTGCTCCTTTCTGGATGGGCGACGCAGTGTGGTCGTGGTGCTGAGCTCCCCCGGGTGCTCCATGTCCCTGATGACCTCACACAAGTAGCGGGCCAAGTCTTGGCTGGAAAAGGAGAGGGTTTTCTGGGAGCGGCGGAAGGTCAGAGGCGATGGGAGGGTTTCTGTCTCTGAGGGGGGGATGGCCAGACGCAGGGCGATAGCTGAGCTGCCATTTCCATTGGACACCCCGTTCTTGTTGTTGTCCTGGGGAAGCTTAGTCTGTGGATAGGAGATGATGCTTTGTGGATAGCTATAGCGGAGAGACTGTGCTGGGCTGGGCTGGAGGGAGCGCTGCAGCTCCACCATATTAAAGGCATTCTGAGAGACCGACAGACAGACAGAGGAGCAGGGAAGGAAAGAAGGGCAGGAGAGAAAAAAGCTTTCCCTGTGTAATCTTTACAGAAATTTAGGAGATAATGAAAAGCAACACTGCCACATGACACCAATCTGTGCTTGGGGGCAGTGTAGCTCAGCTAATGCCTCTACTAGCAAATGAACCTGTTCCTCAGACTAAGATGAAGATACATGATGTAGGAAGGGATGTTGGCAACAAAAGCACTATTGATTAGCCAAGTAATTAATTATCTGATTGTGGGGAGGGGGTGGAGGGTTACTGCTATTTCCAGCACTATTAAAACAGAGGCATTAACAGCTATTGTTGACTATTTGCTTAATTTCAGCTAATTAACTCACATTTGTGAATCTCCGAGGAACTGATATTTGGTTTTCATCTCAAGACACCAGCAAACACTGTTTTCTGTTAAATGTTTTCTGGTTTAGACTTTGTCCTTAAAATACAGTAGGATGATTT